ATCTCGAAAGAGAAAGGTTAAGTACCGAGTGAATCTCTAGTGTATGAGATCACTCGGGAAATTAGAACCTCAGTCGTCGAGGACCGGGAGTGTCGTTTAGATGCCGCAAATTGGTTACTAATCGAACCCCATAGTTTAGGAGAATCTAACGCGTATCACCGTCGTAACTCTTGAGAGTGGCTAAGCCTCGAGAGGGAAGATGGTTGATAATTCTTGTACGTTAGATCGAGCTTAAGTCCTGAAGACTGATGCATGGATGAAAGACGACGAAGTCGTCCATAGGACGAGTGGATTGCTCCGACATCGCGTGAAAATCCTGTGCATTGGTTGCGAGGCACACAGTTGTAAAAGGTAAGAATTGGTAGTTAAGCATGATGTGGTGGCTCTATATGACTCGAGATGTAAAAATTTATGTTACGAAAAGCATGCTTATATGATTTAACTTGACGAATATTGCACGACTGGGATTCTTGAAAACGTGTTATGTGGTGATCGTATGAGTTTATGTAAAATTGTGTTAACAATCATGTTCGGGCTGACTCTCTTATATTGTATATACGGGTACATGAGGTGTATATTTTGATTACATGTGACCTCTGATGCTCTATGTACATGAAATTATGTTTTGTGCTGAAAATTGTATGAGAACTTCTTGTTATAACCACTGTTTGTGCTCAGATTATCGTAGCCTAAAAGCTGTTTTCTGGTTAAGATTTCTGCATAAATTTTGTAGTGCTTTGAGTTAGGTTTCTGTGAGTTTTGAAATTTCATGATTCGGAGTTGAATTGTATTTATTTTAAATCTTTGAAGTTGTAACTGCGAGCAGTTTTTGAAATTCCGGACAGAATTGTGAATCATGATGTTGGGCTGTTTTTGACAATGTTAATGTGACTATATAAAAATATGACCAACATGAAACTTGTAGTATATGTTATCAGCTTTCTCTGGAAGTTAAAATCTTGCAATTTGGTATTTTAATTGATTTTATATGATTTTTCAAAGTTGGAGTTATGCCCAGAATTTTTAAAACAGTGGCTGTGTTTACAATTGAAATGTATGCTCTGAAATTAGGCCCTTAACGTGATTATTTGTAAAGATGTCCTTCTTGGAACTTGTAGCAATTCACGTGTAGTTTCTGTAGGTTTTGAGCTTGCATGATTCGGAGTTTTGTGGAATGAGATATTCCTGATTTAGTGACCTGCTGTAATTTATAAATAGTTCCGTTGGCAGATTTCCTGAGTGATCAACATGAAAGTTATAGGGGCTGTTTTGAAACTCGGTTTTAAAGTTATTTTTTTGGGCTTAAGTGATCAACAAGAAAGTTATAGGGCTGTTTTGTTTTTTGTTGTTAGCTTACTAATGAGATAAGGTTCATGCTTATATGATGACTGTGGCTTGATTTAGGTTAAATCTATTTAGGATATGCATGAGATGAGTTGGTAATTAATACAAGCCTCGCACCCCGACCGACTGGAAATCGCCTACAGCTCGTTCTCCTCGCCGGTTGAACACGGAACCTGCACGAAACTCCCACACCGGAGGTGTTTTCTGGTGAATAGCCTCCAACGCTCAAGTCAGATCTTGAGAGATAATATCAGTGTGTGAAAATATATAAGAGTATATGAGATTGTTCCTAAAGTGAGGATTCTCGCCCCTATTTATAGGGGCGAGCTACCTGTTCTACACGCGCGACTAGGGCGAGTTCGGCCAACTGTCTTCTGCTCGTCCGTACAACCGCGCGCCTCCACTACCTTTGATGTCAGGAAACTCGTCCCATTTGTCAGGGAATGTCAGAGTTCGTTATAGCCATGGGCCATTCATAGAACGCCGCGTGTCCTCCCTTTCACGTGCTGGAGATTCCTTTGTGCACTCTGCTGTTTCGACCAATTCTGTACGACCATGTCCTCTCCGACCATCCTCCCTCGACCAACTTCCTCGAATAACCAGCGTTTGTCGACCACTCTTGATCCCATTAGTCTCCGCTGCCTGCTCTCTGTTCTCCATTGCAGGTGTCTGGTCCAGCTCGACCATATCATTTGACCCATCTTATTTAGGTAATCTGACAAACCGGTCTATTTTCTCCGGTTAGCCCAACAAACCGGTCTAGTATATAATATCCCATATCATCTAGTCCCCCTACTCTGGTCGAGTCTAAACGACTCGATCTAAGAGTAGGCTTTGGTCTATGTCGAGGAGGTTATGCTTCCTCAATTTCGACCACCTTACACATTCCCTTCCTTTGTGCGTTTGCTTTCCTTTCTAACCGCCATTCTGCGCTTTCTGAATTTCAAATTTTGCCACCTGTCCGCCGTTTTGGGACGCGTCTTTTCGTCTGCTCAGAAGTTATGACAACCTCGTGACCTGTGTTACCTCGAATCTCGCTCGACTCTCGCACACCTCCTTTTCCTTGCTGTTGTATTTCCTACTTTAATCCTACAGCTCGGAACACGCGTCTGTTCGCTTGTCCCCCAATCGCGGCCCTTCTTTACCTACAATCCTAGGGCTAGCGCTCTCTCCCCTTCACTTTTTGCCCTTATAAATATCCATACTTAGGAAAAATTTTCCCTTTTATTCACATCGCATTCCATCGCACTAGAGCTTCCTACAAGTGTCGAGCATCCTGTAACCTTGAATTCTTCGTCCTGTCTGCAAGTTCTCCATCGTTCGCCATGAGTAAGTCTTTTTTAACTTTCAATTTGTGTTTGTTAACTTTTAATTTTCGGTTCTTCCTCTTTTCCTCGAACCTCTTCTCAATTCTGTCTCCGTCCATTGTTCGTCCTACCCGCTGTGCTCTCCTTCACCTTTTTCAGCCTTCTTCTCTGCTTTTACTCTTTCCTTCGATTAATTATAATTTTCTTTTCTTTTATCTCAGATTCCGCTACTTCAAGTGAGAATGACCGATACAGCGGGAAGGACCTGACTTCCCCTTCTTCTTCTACGACCCTTAGCCTATCGAGCGATTCTGTACAAGAAATTCTTCAGCCTGAGCCCATTTCCATCCTTCCCCCTGCGACGGTCAGCGATAGTCCTACAACCACTGCTATCTCTCCCTCCACCTACCTTGTCGACTAACCCGAAGATGAGGTTACCAGCCGCCCTCCTTCTCCTCTCGCCGAGCGTGCTCGTCGAGCTATCGGTCAAGACGACGAGATTGAAGACGAGGACGATCCTCAGGACCACATTCCATTATCTGCTCGTGATCCCCAAGACTTTGTTCCTCTGTCTTCTCGCGCTCCTATTTCTTCGACCATGCCTTCTCGCTCCCATCGACCTAAGCCATCCAAACGGTCCAGATCGTCCAAAGCATCTTCGAGCATTACCCGTCTCGACTTTGATTCAATTGGTCATCCCGGTACTGCTCGTACCCCTGACGATGATGATACCTACGATAACCCTCCAGATAGCTATTATACCTTCTTCCGCTCCCATTTCGACCTAGGCCTCTGTTTCCCTATCTGCCAGACATTGATCGACCTGTGCGGTTTGTATGGCCTCTCAATCAAATCACCCCCAACGCTTTCAGGACATTAGCGTCCTTTCTTATTTTGTCCATAGTTCGCATGGGTAGAGTAGATTTAGACTTTTTGTATATTGCTATTTTGCTTCAAAACAATCGGACGACCTTTATTTAAAAAGCCAGAATAAAGCTTGTTTTATTACTGATCGACCATCCAATGTTCCGAGATGGAAAGATCAGTTTGTGTAAGTACCTCCCCCGCAGCCTTACCCTTGGGCGCCTATCCCCTGGCTCACAGAGGTGCCCCTGAAACCTGTTCGTCCTGCTACTAACCCAATCTTCGACCGTTGCATACAAGTGTGGAACTCCAATCCCGTCGCTTCTACTCTTCTACTTGAAGATGATAACCTTCTCCACTATTGTGGAACTTTGACCCATAAAGCGTTTTCTCTCCCTCTCGCCGAGACCATTATCCAAATTCGCATCGATCCTAAACTTGCTGAAGTTAATAAGACAGCTCGAGCAGGTGCTCGAGTCATCCTTATTATACGCTTTAAATTTATTACGTTTTATATTGTCGATTGACTTTTGACAAGCTCCGTTGTTCATGCAGAGGGATTTTTGCATAAGCCAGACCTCAAGAAGTCCGACGATAGGAGGTCTATCCATAAGGACACCCCAGCCAGTGTCGAGAAGGCCAAGGGGCAATCCTCGACCAAATATGTGGCCTCTCGACCAGATAAATCCAACGCTGGCGATTCCCCTCGCTCGAGCAAGCAACGGGCTCCTCCTTCTCCGCCCAGGCAAGTCGAGCGCCATCCTAGTCACTCGACCAGAGAGAGCGACATGTCCAAAAAACACCCTCGGTCCGAGGTGACTGGTCCACACTCTGCCAATCCTCCGCCCTCCCCCAAGCGGTCACAACTTGAGGCGGCTTCTACTGGGAATCCCCTCTCCTCGCACGCTCCTTCCCTCTCTTTGGTGTTGGCCGGACCTCGAGAGGCTATGTCTCGGCTGATGAGCTTCCTGCCATTCGACGATACGCACTGATGGGGGGTGAATCATCGCAATCAAGCCAAATATGGCATTCGCGCAATGACACAGGTATTTCTTCTTTCTAGCATTATCTTCGCGTATCCTGCCTTGCGTCTTTCTCATTCTTCTTCTTACCACAAACTCTGGTCTCCATCTGTCCTCTCCTCGAGGAGGCGATGAACGGCACTGGTCGTCCAATCCCTGTTCTTGAGAGCGACAATAGGCGCCTCGAGGAGGAAAATAGGAGGTTGAGGGTCGAGAATGAGTACCTGCTCAAAACACGCCACGCCTTGGCAGAGCAGCTGAAAAAAGACGAGCAGCGCTACAAGGATGCGTTGAAGGGTAAGGATAAGGCCCTTGAAGTGGAGAGGGCAGGTCGGAAGAAAGAAGTCGAGGCCGCTGCTATTACTGCGATCGAGTAGTCCCGTCGGGCTTTGTGGAGGACCCAAGTTGGTACGACTTTCCTCTAGGCCTATCAGGAGTAGCTGATCAAAGACTACCTGTGCTCGACAGCGTTCCTTAAGGAGGCTGCTGAGATGGGGATGGACTTCTACACCTACAGCATGGAGGAGGTCGAGCACCTGCTGAAAGAGATGTGGTTCACAGGTGAGCTCGACCAGGACAAGACATGGGAGGCGATTCTCTCTTCACCCTCTAATTTCACCGGCGATCCCAATTTGCCTGCTGAGCATCCTTGGTGGACCGGGTCTTTAGAGCGGGCTTAGGCGGGGGATCCTTCCTTGAAGGGCTCTTTCGATATACCAAGGCCCGGGGAGGCGCCCCTGGTTCGCCTTTCTGTGGCCGTTCTTCCTCCTCAGCCTTTGAACACCAACGCTCCTTCGTCCCTTTCCCATCCATCTGCCTCGGCTATCGCTCAATCTACTGCTACCTCCTTCTTTTCGAGCGCCGCCTCGCACTCGACCACTTATGCTGCTACTTTTGATCCCTTCACGACTGCCCAGTCGACCACGGCGGCTCAGTTGGGATTTGCTGCTTTTGCTTCGTCGGCGGCAAGCATTCAGTCAACTGTTGCTGTCGGGTCATCGGTCACGGCTGCCCAGTCGACTTCTGCGGCGCAGGCGTCTGCTGCTATGTCTGCATTCTCTACCGCCGCTGCTCAGTCGACCGGCGTTGCTCCCTCTGCCGCTTCCCATTCGAAGTAGTTTAGGCCTCCATGATGTATTTTCACCTTTTGTGTTGGTGCAGTTTGTAATCTTGTACTTCTAATTACATGGAATGACAGCTTTAATTTTGTTTTCCTCATGTTGTGTGATGCTTTTATTTTGCTACCCTTTATGTTGCTTTGTATTATGACTTTCTATGGAGATGTTGATTATGATCCTTGTCGTGTGGATGGTTGTCATATCCGCAACCACTCGCCCACCGGTTTAGGTAGAATGGTACCCTTTGTGCTCGACACTCTTCATGACATGAAATAAACGCCGCCTAACAATGTGATAGACCATAATATACACAACCACTCGCCCATTCGTTTAGGTAGAATGGTAACCTTTGTGCCCGACGCTCATCATGACATGAAATTAAACGCCTCCTAACCATGTGATAGACCATAATATCCGCGACCACACATGCCCACCCCTTGGTCGGGATGTTCCGAAAACGAAGGACTTTGCTCTTCTCACTTGCCCACCCCAAGGGATGTCCCAAAAACATTGTGGTCGTGCAGCCCGGAGGCGTGGACGTTGTCGAACACATGCCCACCCCTTGGAGTGTTCCGAAAACAAGCGACCTTCGCCTACCCCTTGGTCGGGATGTTCCGAAAACGAAGGACTTTGGTCTTCTCACTTGCCTACCCCAAGGGATGTTCCAAAAACATTGTGGTCGTCCAGCCCGGAGACGTGGACGTTGTCGACCACATGCCAACCCCTTGGAGTGTTTCGAAAACAAGCGACCTTCGCCCACCCCTTGGTCGGGATGTTCCAAAAACGAAGGACTTTGGTCTTCTCACTTGCCCACCCCAAGGGATGTTCCGAAAACATTGTGGTCGTCCAGCCCGGAGGCGTGGACGTTGTCGACCACATGCCCACCCCTTGGAGTGTTCCGAAAACAAGCGGCCTTCGCCCACTCCTTGGTCGGGATGTTCCGATAACGAAGGACTTTTGTCTTCTCACTTGCCCACCCCAAGGGATGTTCCGAAAACATTATGGCCGTCCAGCCCGGAGGCGTGGACGTTGTCTACCACATGCCCACCCCTTGGAGTGTTCTGAAAACAAGCGACCTTCGCCTACCCCTTGGTTGGGATGTTCCAAAAACGAAGGACTTTGGTCTTCTCACTTTCCCACCCCAAAGGATGTTCTGAAAATATTATGGTCGTCCAGCCCGGAGGCGTGGACGTTGTCGATCACATGCCCACCCCTTGGTCGGGATGTTCCGAAAACGAAGGACTTTTCTCTTGCTTCGAATGATGGCGAGCAGGGGTTGCGTCCGTAGTTCCACGTGCGTCCAACAAGAAATCCCAAAGAAATTGTATAAGTGATCAGCTTGTATTGTATATATTGAATTTAGGATCCATGTAACCACACATAAAGATTGACTATGCCGTTAAATAGATCAGACCGAACTTGAAAATGACATGTTGTGAGAAATTGATGGTAGATATGAACAGAAATCAGTAATCATAGAAATCAATTATTTTGACAATCCTTGAACAAAATTCGCATCGAAGCTACATTAATCCGATTTGCTCGAGCATGAAAAAGGGGGTCCAATCTGTAAATGACATGTTTATACATAATATTTTTTAAGATTAGCTACGTTCCACGACCTGGCTAGCGATCTGCCCTCAGCATCCTTCAAGGAATATGCTCCTCCTGCATGGACTTTTTTCGACCAAGTATGGTCCCTCCCAGTTGGGCTCCAGCTTTCCTACATGTTTGAGCATGTCTACCCTTTTCCAAACTAGATCGCCCACCTGAAATCGGTGGATTTTCACTTTCTTGTCATGGGCTGCTCTCATCCGTTGTTTGTACACCTACACTCTGGTCGAGGCCTGTTCCCTGAGTTCTTCAATCGTATCCAAGGCAGCCAGCATGAGTTCTTCATTCTGCTCCTGTTCATACGCGCTCATTCGTTGGCATTGCAATTCTAGTTCGACCGGCAACAGCGCCTCCATCCCATAGACCAGGCTGAAAGGTGTCTCCCCAGTGGTCGACCTCGGAGTAGTTCTGTAGGCCCAGAGTACGGATGTCAACTCATCGAGCCACGCTCCCGAAGCTTTTTCCAGTCTTGTCTTCAGCCCATTTAATATAATCCTGTTCGTCACTTCTACTTGCTCATTGGCTTGCGGGTGGGCGACGGAGGCAAAGTGCTGCTCGATTCCCATTTCCTCGCACCACGCCCTAACCCGCTTGCCATTAAATTGTGTCCCATTATCAGATATCAAAACTTTGGGAACCCCGAACCGACAGCAAATGTTGTTGTACAGAAATTGGATTACTTTCTTCTCAGTGATCCTGGCCAGTGGTTTAGCTTCCACCCACTTTGTAAAGTAGACGATCGCCATGATCAAGAATTTTCGTTGCCCTGTTGCCTACGGCATTGGCCCCACTAGGTCGATTACCCACTGTGCAAACGGGATTGGTGCACTCATGGTGGTCATTGTCTGAGCGGGTTGGTGGATAAGCGGGCCATGTCTCTGACATTGCAAACATCTTTTGGTCTCTCTTTAGCATCCGCTTTCATTGTCGGTCAGAAATACCCTGCTCTCAAAATTTTTGCCACCATGGCTCCAGCCTTGCTGTGGTCGCTGCAGCATCCTTCGTGCACCTCTCTGAGGACATATTGGCCTTCTTCTTTGATCACACATCGCAAATGCGGTCCGACATAGGATCGATTGTAAGGAATTCCCCCTTGCTCGAAATACTTTCTCCATACTTTGGTCGTTCCTTCTCTTAGCTCTTTCATGATCAAGGCTCTCCAGTCTTCCACTTCTTCGATCTCTACCACTTCTGCTTCGACCACACTTCTTTCCATATGGAGCAGGGTTACACTTATGCTCTTGCAGTCTTCCAAATTTTGAGCAATTTTAGATAATAGATCGGCTCGACCATTCTCTCCTCTTGGTACTTGCATTAGCTCGAATGACTCGAATTCTTCCTCCAGCCTCTTCATATCGTTCACATAACGCTGCAGCCTGTCTTCCTTGATCTCAAAACCCTCTTGGAACTGTCCGACCACCAGCTGAGAATCAGAGTGGACCTAGATTTTTCGAGCACCGCCGTCCCGAGCCAACTGTAACCCCTTTATCACTGCCTCGTATTCTGCCTCATTGTTTGATATTCGAAACCCCATTTTAACAGCAAACTCCAAGTGATCTCCCTTGGCGACACCAGGACTATGCCCAGGCCCGCTCCACTCCTCGAAATTGAGCCATCTGCGAACAGTTGCCATATTCCCTCCATTTGCCCTTCTTCCTCGTACCCTCCTGAATAAAATCGGCCTAAACTTGCGCTTTGATCGCCCTTCTTGTCTCATAAAGGATAGAGTATTCGCTTAGCTCGACCGCCCACTTCACAAGTCGACCAGATACCACTGGTCGGCCTAAAGTCTGCTCTAAAGGCATGTTTGTTCGCACCTTGACTCTGTGGTTTAGGAAATACGGCCTTAGCTTTCGAACTGTCACGACCACCGCCAATGCACATTTTTCAATCTCGGAGTACTTCAACTATGCTCCCTGCATTACTCGACTGACATAGTATATTGGGAATTGTGCCACCCCCTCCTCGCGCAACAGCACCG